AAATAGCTTTAATTTAAAATTCTTAGGTGTGAAGGCCACGGCATAAATCTGAAGCCTTAGTCAACACTAATTGTTTTAAAGGTAATATGAAGGAGGAAATTTCAGAAGAAGGCAGATAATTATTGACAAAACGTAAATGCATTTTTTTCACTCTTTTTTTTTGCCCACAAACTAGGTGTGTTTCTGAATTGCTCATTACACTTTTTCTTATTTTCTCTTTCTTTCTCTTCATTCTTTCATGCTTTCCTTGAATGCTACCTGAAAGTTAATTTACCACTAGCCACCTGTTATTTTCACACTTTAAATTACTACTCAAATCAAGATAGATGATGATGATAATTATGAAGGAAGTAGAAGTTAAATGACAAAATTATTTACAATTACCATTTACAATTTCGTGTATTAAAAAACTTAGTGTAATTGCAATATAAATTTTCAAATCTAATTTTGCATTTATATTTTAATTTCTGCAAAATTGAAAATATGGAAATTAACCAATTATCCATTATCGTTCATCTATCTACTTTCAATTCATCCTAGCTAAAATGATCATTTATGATAACGCTACATCTAACATCAGCTACTTCTTCATTCTTCATTTTCCAACGATTCATTCGGATATCACTTATCTTATCAAGCAATCTTCCTGCTCTGAATATCATCAGATCGAACTGTATGATCATTGCAGCAAAATTGCTTTGCCTTCTTCCCAGATTGCTTCCTTTTGTTTGCAATAGATCAATAAATAATTGGGAAGGTTATTGTGCATCAATAATAACAGATAAACATTACTTAAAATCCGCCAATTTTTATTTCCTTACAACGAACAGGCATTAAATGTTTACACTACTATTTAAAGCACATGAATAAGGTTTCGGATTCTGATTACCAGCTAAGTGCTAAATAGTAAAGTTATTCACGTCAAGAAACTCCATCTTCTCTCACGAATTAAAACTCATCGCAATGTGATGTTATGTTACCGTTTAGCTCTTCCTAGAAATTACTGAAGATAAACGAATAAACATCCTGTTCTCTTCATTTTTTAAACTCACGAAAAGGTTAACTATCACCATTAACTCTTCCTCTTTACACTTATGCAAAGGTACACACCGAAATCTGGCTAACATTGTTATCCAATTCCCTTTGCCTTTAGTATATACAGAATACAAATTTCATCACTTTATTTCATTAAAATATAAAAAACAACGAAAGGGAATACAAATGTCATAAAATGCTGTTTATATGTCCGATAGTATGATTTAATGAGATACGTACTGTACAAGAGGAAACAGTAAAACAACAAAACAAAGAAATTTGTAGAAATTTCCCTCTTTCTTTAACGGTAAAACATACAGACAAGAAATGTTACGTATTGCTAGTCTACGCCTTCTTTAAAACATATCTTGAAGAACTGCAAAACCATAAAAAACAGAAAACAATTTTCACAGTTGGAATACAAGTCTTACAACCTGCAATAAGTTCCGAAATAAATTCCATTCATGAATAAATGGCAGATACGAGGGATAAAAGAATGAAATTCATCTATCCAGTCAACCTTGACGGAATTAAAAATGATGAGATTAATAAAACAAAAAAGAAATATCCACTCCTCAGTTAATTCTAAAATATGAAACAATAAAATAAAGGAAAAATGAAGCAGAAAGATATCTTCAAACTTTAAATTGTATGAATGGATTCCCTTTCCCATAAAAAATATTCAAATTTCGCGTGTGACTTATATGTAAAATCACGTAACATTTGTATGTATAAAAATTTCACCGATAGTGCAACAAATAAAATCAAGTACTCTAAATAAGAGCTAAAATACCGGAGAAAAGAAACATGAACATGCGAGAGAAAAGAAAAAAATGTTAGAAAGCAAAAAAGATACACGTCTCGAAAAAAGCAAAAAAAAGCTTGCGGTGCACAGTAAACACAGATTCATATTATACACAAGTGTATTCAACCAGTCTTAGTTAATCTATATGATAGTCGTAATACTATACACCGCTAATCAGTATAGCACTCTGCCTCAGTCATGGCTTGACCTGCCACTAACGCTATACTCAACTATTACTTTCTAGAATAATACCAATGTGCTCTTCTATCTCTTATCAAGAATTCCATGTCGGAAAAAGCCCTGATAAGGTCATCCGAAAAAATGTCAATTTTAGAATCGTTGTTGTTGAGACATCATTATTTTTCCTGACTAAAGAGATTCGTCATTATCACACCAAGATTGCTTGATTGAACCCGGTAACACAATCACTTATTTTCATTTTTCATTGAATGAGAACCAGCAAGCTGAAACGTCATTATAATATTTTCTGTCTCAATCCTATAAATAGTGATTTTAAAATTTCACGGCAGCTCAAGCATGGATTCTAAATCAGCTTCAGTCGTAGTGTTATCGCGGGTCGCTAAATTTTCAAAACTACGAGAATTTTTTCACATAACCTACAGACAATTCGTTCATTTATAATTAGCGAATACTTCATCTGAGCAATTCTAAAAAGGGATTTTTTAAAATTACATAAAAGCTATAATCGTATTCAAAGAATCCAAATTCCGTCGCTATTTATTATCTCCGATATTTCATCCGTAAATCAATTCTTGTAAAACTGTGAAATAAACTATGAACTGAAATTTAAAATGTATCCCATCACAAAAAACGTACCAATGGAACAGAGAATATTCTCGGTGAATATGGCGAAACCATTGATGGTCGATCATATTCCGGTACAGATATTGATTCACCATTATTCGAACTCAGTTGATCGTCATCGAAAGCAAAGTACAGAGTTGCAGGACTTGGTGCAGCAGACCCTGACTGAACACTTTCTAGTAAGCTCAGACTTTCGGCCGAACCAGTAGCAGACGGCGCAGTGCTTGTTGCTGGAAGTTTGGAATGACTAGATCCTGACAACTTAGAGGCTGTTGATGCTGATTTTGCGGCCACATAATCCCTAAAAAAGACTGAATGTTTCATTTAGTGATAGAAAACACCTCTAATTTCTAATCAATAAGTCAAGTGCTTCATTCTTCTCGCATTGTTGACTATCGTTTGAAGAAAGAGACTGGAAAAAAAAACAAATTAGGACAATTAATGTTCGAAATTGTAATTATAAAGTAAACCTGTATTGTTGGAAACGTTTTCGTTCATTTAATTCGTATGGCAGATGTCGTCTCGATATGTTTGCCACACACGAGCATTCTGCCAGATGCATACATCCTAAACCTTCCTCCGGTACTAGTTCAAGTGTCTTTCGTTCCCAGCTAGAAATAGCATAATCATCTAAAACAATCTAATTTCTTATGGGAAGCAATATATACATATATGTTAGAGCGATAATATTAGTGCTTACAAAAATTTAGTTGACATTTATATTTCTCTCGGCAGCAAAAAACTCATTCCTATATTCAATGCATTCTTAAACTACGCCAAAGTAAATAATGCAGGGAAAGGGAAAACGTAAAGATTTCATTTAAAAATAAAAAAATCCCAAAAAAAGTACGTACTGCGGTATACAAATTTCTTTATAATCAATTTTCTGAGGAAGACCGGGCATTGGTTCCACGAGTCCATCTTCAACGTCATTTGTGCGAAGCAGACGAAGTCGATGGTTAGTAAATCTGCGGTTCCGGAAATCTCCGTTTCTCTTTCGATCAAACGATCTTCCTACAAGATTTTGTCCAGCACGTTTCAATGTTGACGGCCGTTTAGACTAAAAACATGGACATTAACTAAGCTGTGTTTAAATTAAGAATCAATTTGAAAAAATCATTTGAAAAATAAATATAGGGGACAATGCAATGTCAGGAACAATATTTTTTCTAGAATGTTTATTCACGATGACACCATGCGTACACAAACATTTAATTACTCTGTCTGTCAACTGTTAACATCAACTAAGAACCATCAGTGGTCTTTTTAACTCGAAACTCAGTGCGTTTTACACTGTCAACTTGTGGTCAATTTCCATTACACAAGTGATGAGAAGTCCAGATCGAATTCCAAAAAAGAAAGGCAAAAACAATTCAGCAATTACATATGAGCCTCGCTGGGAATAATTTGTAGCTGGTTGGTATTCCTCGTCATCATCATAACTTTCTTCGCTCTCAGTCCTCTCTCGTTTCCTTCTTGTCTGCCTATCATCCACTATAACTGCTTCCTTCACTACCACCTTTCGTTCCTCCAAAAATGTAGTCCACGGAGAGCGATCAAATCTAAAAATTTTATTATAAAAACTACCGTAATACAAATGAACATACAAACATGTATGCATATATGTAAGGACTTATACCTTTTACGTAAATGTATGATTGGGCGAGTCGATCTTCGCCGACAATAGACTTCAGCTCCACGCTCTATGGGCACTGCTATAAAAATGAAATTTGTATTTCGATTAATTATTCAACAGATTATTATTTGAACCACTCATGATTCACACGTTTTTTATGTCAAAGGGATATGTGATCGATACATTAAGATGCTATCTTGAAATAGTGTAATAAAAAACGAATTGAGAATTATTATTAATCACCACATACATATTTCAACTTCCACAATTATAATTACACTGCACATATTCTTCATCAAGCTCTCTGTTTCTAACGACAATCATAAGAAAAGACCTGCAAGTGAAGGAAGTGGAGGATAAACTCGATTATCCACAGTAGCATATGCCCGCACGCGTTCTCCAGTATCCAATGATATAGGAGTGTCATGTTCAATGAGACCATTTTTTCCTATCCTCTCCACTCTAGAAATATATATTATGTACAGCAATATAACGCATTCAGATGTGAAAGTTGAATTTCTGATTTATTTAGATTAAATAATACAGCAATCTTATAGAGATTTTCATACAAGAACTGAAAACAAACTTTCTCCTTTTCAGAAAACGTCTTCTTTTGCCATCATATGGTAAGCATCTCGCACAACATTCGTTCAAAGCTTCGTCGTTCCATGAATACACCTTTGTCTTCTGTTTTCGAATGTTATTCAGCTGGAAGGCACAATATTTTGAACCTTCTATTATGACATAACAATGAAACCTCAAAAAGTTATTTATGGTTCACGAATTGGCGATTGTTTTTCAGGATTATCTAGAAATACCAGAACCGGAATTTCAGGGCACAATCAGAGATCCCTTATCACGCCAGGTTAGACATCTGCTATAAAAACACTCCATTCATGTAAGTTCTTTCAACTTAGTCATCTGTACAAACATTGTAAAATCATGCTTTGCCACACATACCATGATACTAAGGATGATCAAAAAACTTCAATGAAATTATCTCCAGTTAGCTCAACAACTGCGAACACGAAATATAGGTGATAAAATGTAGATGAACCTGACGATACACGACATTTATTTTTTCTTCACAATCTTCTTCTATGCAAAGCGCTTTTGCATCTAGCGTACCCAAACTGACTCGCTCATCAAAGTATGCATGGGACGATAAGCTCCTGAACAGATCATTTCAGCTGAATTAAAAAGCAAACTCAATGATTATGTATACATATAACACATATATAACTAAATACCCGAATGGTAGATAAGCGCTCGATGTTGATGGCATCTGTCCCTCGTTCTCCTCATCACTATCTTCGGATTCGGTTACATCCGCATCCATAACATATTTCGCTAATCGTTCATCCGATTCCCCAGATACCCTAAGATACGAAGAAAATCTGACCAATGAACGACTTCAGTGAGCAATAAAACAAGTACTTGCTATCTTTCTAACATAGTCTTTGTTCACGGACCTCCAACAAATGTCTGTTCATACCGAACACAAAAACTCATTGTCCTTGCATGAACACAAAAGCATGGGTCACACTCCATAATGAAGTGACCATCTCTGAAGAATATTTGGCTCTAAATGCGAGAATAAATCTAGCATCTATCAAGAAAATATTGAGCAAACATACGGATTTCGAGCATCTTGAACCAGTTTTTCGATAACAGCTGAACCATCACCGAAAACGTGATCCGAAACTTCTTTTGACAGAAAATCATTAAGCGTAAAGTGATTTTTGAAACGTTGCAGTAAATTAACTAGCTGACTAAGATGAGCACGTTCCAACTGAAAGCGCAAACGTAAGAAATTCTTAGACCAATTACTATTAACATAAAATGAGGGGCGAATTCAGATTTAGAAAAACCCTTTGTAAAAATACTCAATCTGTTACGAGCTAAAAAACAACATACATGTGGTACGCTTAATGCCAGGCCATTCTTGTCACGTAATTTTCCAATTTTCTCTTGCAATATTTTCCTATATAAGCCATCTTTATAGTCCATAACAGTGCTAAAAAATTTTGAAAAACTGCAAAAGGTAGAAAGAACACAAAGAGATAATCAAATAGATGGAATAACATATGATAGCACACCTTCAGGTGTGATTGCAAGAGAAACGAAAAGACTTTAGCAAAAAAGAAAATAAATTCAGCACCCAAATAAATTTGATTGGAAAAGTAATGGATTCAGTTTAAGATCTATTTTACTTATAATATAATCTACTCACATTACACTCACTAAAGTAATTAAAAGTATATTATTAAGACCATGAAATAAAGAAATTAAACTGAAAGCAAGTTAATGAAACCAGGAATTGAAGAAAATTGAACCCCAATATTTACAATCGGAAATATCAAACCCTATTTTGTGTTTCGTGGAGAAATGTATTAATAAGTCGCCAGAGAACTATTTTGCGCTCTGCAATGGTAAAGACAATCAATAAAAAAATTAAAAAGCAAAGCCTGCATATGCACGTCTGCAATTAAATTACCTCGAACTAATTTTTTTTGGACAACTTCGTTTGGTTGCAGTTCTCGGTTCATTTGCATCATCTTGCGCTGGTTTGCGCAATAAATCCAGCGCTTTATTCAAAATTTGCTCACTAGGAATTTGCAAATGATCTTCACCGGCATTCACAATTGGTACTGATGAGGATGGCACGAAATGTGCAGTCATTATCCGTTCTTCCTAAACAAATTCAAGGTTTAGAATTTCATTCACTATTTTTATTCCATTAAAGCACTCTTTTATTCATTCGGCATCAAAAGATTCGATTCGGTACGTAATTTTATCCCTAAACTTACATTCATTAGTCGTTTTATAACATACTTGAATTTTTTGTTTCTTTTGTTGGACTTCCTTTACATCTGCGGAAATTTCCCTTGAATTTGTTTCTGAACGCACCAATATCTCATTGGCACTGGACAGCACTGAAGTTTTGTGTGAACCGGAGAGCTGTGAACGTTTATTAACTCGAAATGGCAGTGGCGTTTGAGCCAAAATAGAACCATAATGATTTGGCGACAAAGGAGCTGTGTTTATCAGCGATCGCCGAGGTACTCCTTGATGAACATCAATTGCAGGAAATGGTTCTTGTTTAAGAACAGCGGGAGAGATCTGTCGGCTCAAATCCGTACTTTCGACATGTTGGTTTCTGTTCCCAGAAGGCACAGAAATGTAAAGTTGTGTTGTGACATCCTATAAAGAAAAACACTAATAAACTATCGCTCAAAGTAAACTAGTCTTTGTCGTCCGTCATTTTAAGTCCTTGCAGTTTTTCTTTGTAAACGTGTTTAAAATGTTTAATTAAAGTTTTTATATTATATGTTCGATAAAATGTCGCAAAGTTAGGACTCTTTATCCATCCACAGCATTTTAAATGAATCAGAACAATGTCTATAACAGGTTCTCAAAAAAGGTCTGTAAAACCGCAAACTAAAATGTTTCGACTGATCATTGTCCTAATCAAATCACTTGCAATTCGAACTAATTGTGCTTAGCAGCCTGCATACAAACTCTCCCTTGAATTATTTGGAATTTCAAGATATTTTCTGTATTGGGTACTCAGCCACTGCTTCACAATTACTCGGGTTATGTTTTGTGAGAACGATAGAATGAAATAGACAGGTATATTTTACATAAAGTGACCATATCCCAGTAACAACTTCCTATTTCATATGATAATGCTCTGGGCAAAATACCTTGTCAGGTTCCTTTGAATCATTAGCAGCAATCTGACTTGATTTTCCGATATCAATTGATGTTTTCAGATTATATTTCCCATTTATTAAGCTCAACGCTTGATCCTTCTGCTCATTACCAGTTTCTTTTGATGCTAGACCTTCTTTTGAGGTAGACGGTTCTGGGTCATGAGGACAATTACTGGAATCAAAACAACGACTTTCCAAAGGCTGTTCTGCCGCCAATATTGTGTTTGTACCATTTGTTGAACACATCTAGAGATTTACCACATGTTACTGCTGTTCATTTATAAAACAGACATCATTATACAATGAAGGATTCACTTGCCACAAATGGATCAGTAAATGGATCGAAACAAAACCAAAAAGGTGAGAAGAGAAATTTCAAAAATTCCATGAAATTTACAAACGAACAAAACACATTCCGAATCCCGAATGATAATATCCATTTGTACTTAAGGTTGCCATTTCACCACTTCAAAGAAAAACTCATTTTCGTATTGCTGAAATAATTTGAAATAAATGTGAAATGACCTGATTTCCCTTTAATTGATGAGTTGAAAATACAAAAGGATCAGAAGGCACATCTTCGTGAGCTTCAGACAACTGCATTCCATGCCTCAAGTTAGAATGTTCTGAAGAAAGAGTATCTTTCACTTCTGGCGGGGACATATTACGATCCAGAAGTAATGAAGAAGAGCGCAAAGTTGTTGTGATCTGATCATTACTCATGTCAGCAGTTTCAGCATCACAATCATTTTTGATACTACGCATCTGAAACTTCATTTTAAACCTGATTATTACTAAAAAATTGTCTCAGCTTGTCAACTAAATATTCCATTCCAATGACTGTGCGTGCTCTTTTTGTTCTTCATCCGGTCTGCAGATGCAAGCATAGAAAATGTTTCTAATACCCCAAAACCTAAAACTATCACATCATTCTTCGTGGGAAAAAATTTCGTAACCCTTCAGCAGTAAAATAAAAAAAGCGAATACGTTTGTTCAACAAAACACAGATATTATCCTGGATTACGACATAAAGAGCCAAAAAGATTACAATGAACTGTTCACTACTAACAGGCGTTGCTGATATATCAATCACAGTTCCGAGTCCCATTGAATTCTCCTTTCACCCACCGCCGCCTCGACATAACACAAATTCCTCCGTATATTCTGTGCGGCCTCAAAACTAAATTCGTACGTCCTGAAATAAAGGGAACAAAGAAACTTAGGCGCTAATTCATAATGGAAATAACAATGTGTAATTACAAGAACTTAAATCGCATAATCGTACTTGTAAGAAAATTTACAAAAATGATTTCAATCTAACGGGAGACACAGTCAGTGATGGAAAGTGAACATAGAAAGGTTCAACCAATACAGATATCTTCATCCAGTATGCATCATATAATGAACAAATAAAATGATAAATACGACCATATCACACAATGAATTCACAAAGGAGCTCAATAAATCGTAGTATTTTTGGAAGGTTTTCCCTTCCAAATGATACACAAGAAATATCAGTAAATTCCACTGTTAGATGAACCAAGTTTATAAAATGGTTCCAGAAAATTGCAAAAAAGCAGTGAGTTGCATAAAAATTTTGTTTACCATTAAAAAATCCAAGCACACTGCCTTGATAATATTTAGTAATTTCACTGACAATCGCATTTTAAATGGCCATAGAAAAGGGATCTAAAAAAGTGATAAAGTCAACCACTGCTTAATAAAAATGTCACTCTGGCCAGCAAAGAAAATATTACTACAGTCAATTAATTTCGACAAATACAAAAAATCCGCTTTACTCCACATGTTATCAGCTTATGTTCAGCAAATCAAAATGATCATAATGAAGTAAACACAAAGAAATGAAAGGTTCGCTGTTTTCTATCCAAAAGCTCTCAAAAGACCTGCTGCACTCTATAACAATTATAAATAAATCAGTAAGTCCAAAAAATTTACTAAACTTATTTAGAAAATCATATGTCAAACCCTACATAGAGTAAGTATAATGCCATTCGCAAAAACTAAGATATCCAATTTTCTGAATATTTAGTCAAAATGTTGCGAAGAAAGCTATTACGCACATATAAACTATTTCTCAAAAAAAAAGAAATATATGCAAATCTTATGCACTAACAGTAATTTCGGAATGATAACATAGAAATACCATACAAAATACTTATCAACTAGGTACATCATCAAGGATGAACGAATACTATACTACATATAAATATAGAACAAATATATATGATTGGCAAACTTTCATTAAAAGTTTACATTTATTATAAGTGATATAAAGAAATATAAACAAGGGATGGTATATAGCTAACATAAACAGACAGCGAACCATAACTAAACGCTAACTAAAAACAAGCTTATACAGCGTTTCAGAGAGTGGGTCACAAATTCGAACCACTGATAAGCAAAAGGACCGTACCGACGGATGGTAATATCCTCAAGTGCTGCATATGGGAAACGCCCGTGCGGAATAGACGAATCATTTAACTAGCCTTGCCGCACCGCCGCTCCTAGCCTCCTACTGATGCTAATGACGACGCGACGCGATTCTGTATGTATGCACATATCTACACCTGTATGCAGCATATAATATAAAGAGTGTAACAGAGAAAGAGGATGTTGCGAAAGGATCAGGAACAATGAGTGAAATGAAGGGATGTGCGGGAGAGAAAGAGAAGGGAGGAGAGAGGAAGAACACGCCTCGCACAGTGCACACAACGCTCGCACACTCCACTTCACACGTCAGGCGGCCCTTCCATCCTACCCGTTAACTTTTTTGAATATGTGCATCTCGTGTCTTACAACGATTAGTACCGTATCCATTTGATTGCTATTAGCACGATCTTATTTAAGCGCTTTGCGGCTGATCTCTTGAGCGGGTTAGTGATGAACGAGTAGAGCGCTGTAGAGGGAATCCTTGGATTCTTCGACACCTCTGTGAATGTTTATAAGGGTTTTATATGATCACTGTGTTGTTATCTTACGTTACCACGCATTGCAGAGGTTAGATTATGCAGTGAATTCCGAGATGGCTGTGTCAAACGTAAAAGAGAAATATGCGGACTTCCTGGTAGATGGCACTGAGGCAATATCGCTAACCTTTGGTAAGTCTTATATTTTAGTTCCTGCTATTTCTTTTTTTTTTTTTGTTATTATTTATGGATCAAGTTTGCAGTATCCGATATGAGCGAAATGTTCTCAACGGCAAGGCATCATCCTCAATATGTCTACCAGTATTTCGGAGAGAAGTAAGATATTGCAGATTTTGCACTGATTATTATTTGAGTGTTCGTGCAGTCCTTATCTCGATCCGTCACTCGATAACTACCTATCAGATAGCTCGATTACACTGCAGCACTTTTTCTATCAATAAGCAGTTTATTCGATCTTTTCTTTGTATTTTCATGCGAAGTCAACTATCTATAATTATAATCCTTGAAATATGTTATAGCGAAACAATATTTGGTTACAAGGACCTAAGCATCACTATACATTATACCGATGCATCTGTGTATCTCTACCCAGAAATTACTTATACAGCCAAAATAACATCGTTAACAGCTGAGTTCAAAGTTTGTTCTATTTTCCAATTAATTGTTTAAGTATCTAAGATTTGTATATCATGTTTTTTCTTTTTCATTTTAGGCTGACAATATAGTTCAAAAATTAAGCGAGCACTTGCCAGCTGAGCAAATGGAAATGTTGTGCCAGACAAGCGCTTTTTTCAAATTTCGTTTGGATGAGCAGAAAAAATTTTGGCCTTACGGACAACTTCTTTCCAAATTCACCATTGGTAAGTAATTAAATTTCTGGAGGGTATATTGTTCGTTCAGACATATAAGTTGTTCAACTCTGGATGATTTTTATAGTTTACTGAGTTACGATTTTTTTGCCATTTCAGAAGTAGTTATTCTTTGATCCCCATATTTTGATTTTTTTCTGGATAGCAGTGAAATATCTGGTAATTGATTTCAGCATTTCAAACAATTTTACACTAGAAGGTTTGTTGATATAAATTTTGGCATTTTAGATAGTCGAGAACTGCAGGTCTGGGTAGTTAACGAAAGTTCGCCCGGATTTAATGCATATTTAGCTCGAGTTCAAACTCTTGCTTTATGGTACATTGAAGCTGCACAGTACACGGATAATGATGATCCACGATGGCAGCATTATTTCCTGTTCGTTTTGTGATACCTTATTCAATGTTTCTGACAATTGCTTCAATGCTTTATTTCCAGTTCATAAGCTGATGTATGCCAAAACCATTACCTGAGCTCATATTCCAGTTGTAACTACTGTGAACTGGATGTAACCTCAAAAACCTTAGATATAGAGTAATATCCGTTCTGCTTAATCCATTTGTTGATATTAAATGCTAGCTAGTTTTTGTTAACCATTTGCAGAGTTTCGTTTCAGATACGAATCAATTAAGAAAGATAATGGAGTTTCGCGCGTAGCACTTGCGGGGTATGCATCACTTGTCAGATTTTATAATTATCCTGATAAAATTCGACCTAGGATTGCCCAGATTTTACTGTTGCCACATTATCAGGGCGTCGGTATTGGTGCTAGATTTTTGAAGGCAATATATAATGACTTAATCCAAGACCCTAAGGTCGCAGATATTACAGGTTGGTATTAATTTCACTGTCTTTCTGTGATTGAAAGCTACAGAGCTATGTAATAAATGAAGATGCAGTATTTCATAATTCTCTGTCTCAGAGTTGGAAAATTCGTATGTCTCTAATAGTTTTTCTCTCACATTGAAACGATACATTCTTCTCTTTCTCGACTCCAAATTTATGTAGAAAGTAATTATCCAAAATTATTTGGACATCATTTGAATGACGATGCCATTCGAAATAAGTGAAGAAAAAGAAATTAACTGTTCCATACTTCCGATATTTCTACTGCCAATTTCCACATTTTTTTGTTATTTTTCAGCGGAAGCTCCTGCAGAATCGTTCATAACAACTCGAGATTATGTGAATTGCTCAAATTGCTCAACACTAAAGGAATTCCATGTAGATAATCTAAAAAAAGGTTTCACTGAAGAGATGAGAAATGCTGCTTTACTACGATTTAAAATAAATCCGGTAATGTTTTTTTGCAGTGGAACAGTTTTGTCATTATTTTTCATTTTCTATAGTCAAATTTTACATCAAATTTCTGTAATTACAAAGTCACTATGTTAACATATAGAACCACTAATAAGTTACTCCAATTTTTTTTTCTCGATGCTTCAGTAACTTGACAGGTTTTATTCGCTAAAGCTGGAATTAATTATTTCAGAAACAGGCACGGCGCGTTTATGAAATACTGCGTCTGCACCATATCGATGTTCGAGATGAAAAAGCTATGGAAGAATATCGATTGGATGTGAAGAAAAGACTTGAAAAACCTTTTAAAGTCAGTTTTTTTATTCCATTGGATACATGCTCATATCTAACAATCGACAATAAAGCAGTTAGGACATCTGTACAAAATATGGCTCACTTCTGACTGTATCTTTCGCTTCCTCTACACTTTTTAATTAAAAAAATCATTTCGAATGTTATTTTATTTTTCTATTTGATCTTAGGTAGGAAATGTATATGAAGTTAGGTAAGATAAAAAAGTAATTTTGTCCAAAAATCCGCATTCTTATTTACACGGAAGTCTTCATGTGTCTTTTGTTTTTATGCTGATATGCAAAGTTTTTACTCTTAAATATCAAATGCAGCTGTATTTTTAGCGAAGTGAACGTGACTGGAGAAAGCTATCAAGCGTTTTGGATGAATATGAATATGCAGCAGTTGTAGCCAGTCAGATGAGTATAGAGCAGAAAATAGCTAAACTGGAACAACTTTATGAAGAAGAATTAGCCAGCTATCGGACTGTTATTAAACGATTGATCAATTTTGCTAATGGTTAAATATGTCGATTCTTTCCTGTTGTTTCTCGATATATAATCGAATTCTCGTCTATTGTTACGCTTTAGATTGTGAAGTTATTTGAAAACCTCAGTGAAGTCAAGTACTCCTTTCTACCAATCTTAGATACACTGATTTATCTTTTCCAAGCGCATTTCTGAATCAAATTTTCAATATATTCCTAGTTTTTATTGAAATTAGTTTGTTTTATGAACTTTGAATTATGATGACAGCAGTTGTGTATTGCTTCCTTGTTTTACATTAATCAATTCTTTAGTAATCACGGGTTCTCCAAAATACAGCGATGCAGATATATGTCAAATCTCATTCTTTGTATATCCAGTAAATGAAACCTTGCATATATTTGGATCATCATTCGCATTGCTATTGTAACGACTCGTGATTTTGTAGAGTGTACTGAAGATCGAGGAAAGAAAAATATATATATTTAGGTCCAGATATTCGATGCACATTCGTTACAAATAAAACATAGAGTAATTTAAGTCACTTCTCCCTCCTCTCCGAAATGAAAAGAGGTATTATGATCTTTCGCGATCAAATCGTTGCATGCTTAATATCAGAACTTCGCATTAACAACAACTACGGTTTCTAACATATTGTCGCTGATTTCAGTTCTGTAGAAGTTAAACATTTACAAGTTTAAGCCTGTTGATGTAACAGAATGTTGTGCTGGTGTCCATAAATCGATATCCTTGCACTGGTTGGTTATACACTTCCAGGAGATCGAGTCATCCTGAAACGCGATTTGCATTGTGGGCACGGTAAGCAGGTCGTGCCCGTACACAAAGGAAACACGGAGTTGCTACATGCGGTGAGCAGATGGCGAGGTTTTAGGGTCGGTCTTGGAACAGTCGGCTTTCTCTATCTTTTTTATTACCGTCACGATTATTGTTTTCCAATGATGAGAAGATAAAAGATTTTCGGGAAAGTTTAGTTTAGAAGTATATATGTGTGAAGTTCAAGAAAAAAAAAACCATAGAGGAGAGTGTTAGTAGGAACTATACATTGTACCATTGAATCATTGATAAGAAGAAGTCTAGAAAAGTAAAAAAACAAACTGCACAGATCGGTAAAAATGATAAATATAAAAATAATAAAGGTAAAAATAATGGGGAGTGCGCGAATTTTTTTTTTTGTATGCCGCTGATAAAAAAGTGTACTTCGTTATTTTTGCTTTGGAAGAAATAGATGAACTTCTGAAAGATTTTGCATATCTGTTGTTCTTTACATGAGCTAGTAGAATTTTGTTTAAATATCGAACATCTTCTTAATTGCTCAAATAAGATAAACTGTAAGACTTCGATTAAAAGCAGGTTTTTGGGGGATTTGTGCTAAGCGTTGAGTCTGAGTCATCTTGGGCAAAAATATGAATCTGCTCTGAATGATTTCAACAGTTTTTGATTTTGACCAAAGATAAACATAATTAATTTCTAATAATGAGGAAAGGAAGGACAATGAAGATTATGGATTGCAAGAAAGAAGATAGTGATGATGATTTATAGGTATTTCAGAAATGGTCCTCATTGGAGCAGCAATTATAACAAAGACAGGAAAACGTAAGCTTCCATATCCATCATTATATTTGCATAGAATGTTCCGAATGTTTTCGATGAACTAGTGCTGCGGATATCTAATAAATTGAGAGATATTTTTGCGTAAATTTTTCATAAAGTCGAAATTTTGTGGTTTATTACTTTGACTAGTGAGTGGATGTTCAGTAATCTAAGATATAGAAGTATTCGACAATACATCTAATTTAATTTAGATTCCTATTTATTAACTGTGCTGTTTTTTCAGCGCTTTTGGCAAGGGTTTTCATCTCGGACATGACAAAAGCTCGGTTAGAAGGATTATTGGATGCTTTTCCTAAGTTAATTGCTTCCGACAAGTGTAAGTTTATTTCTTAATCAGAGGGTAATCGTTACTTCACTTCGCATAATAATCAGACTTGAGACATTGAACTGTATCAAACTCTCTTTAAGCTTGTCATTGGAGGAGACACAATACGGATGAAGTCTGGATGTTTTTATTGATTGCACAAAGGACCTAACCCCCATTAGTTTTGATGTAGTTACAAAATTTATTCATTTTAGCGCAACGTCAGCATACTTTCATCGAAACAGATAGTGTGCGTTATGTTTTCCATCCGCTGGACAGTGTATATGTTGTCCTGATCACCACCAAAGCATCGAATATTCTAGAGGATTTAGAAACTCTTCGACTATTTTCAAGAGTGGTTAGTTCGTAATCTTGTGAAGTGGTGAGGAGTACTCTTGCTGATTAGTAATTTGTGAAGGTAGCTATGGGAAATATGACTGAAATATAAATAGATATTATTAAATAAAATATAGGACAAGTAAAAGGTAATAATTTACTGGCTATGACTTACGAATCAAAATTTATTTCTTCTTATGAGTCCAAGTTTCGAGATTTTGGTTATTCATGGAATATTTCAGATTCCTGAATACTGCCGCTCGAATGATGAAAAAGAAATGCAAGCAAATTTATTCGATCTCATATTTGCTTTTGATGAAATTGTCGCTCTTGGGTATCGTGAAAATGTCAACTTAGCACAGATACGCACATTTACGGAAATGGATTCTCATGAGGAACGAGTGTTCAATCAGATAAAGATTGTAAGTTTTTTTGAGAAACGTCTGCTCATATTAGCAAAGTTAGTTGATAGAAATAATCCTCATTCTTACCATTCATTCTTTTTATAGGCTCAAGAGCGAGCTGCTAACGAATTAATGACGCAGAAAGCTATGGAACTGAAAAAATTGAAGGCAGAGCAGCGAAAATCTGGAAGAGGTATTTTTCTTACAGTCCTCTAATCATGCACTGTTTTTGCAGGAACTTTTCCCACTACTTGTTCTTAATAAATAAATCGTTAGGTCTGGGAAGCAGCGCAACAGCCATTAGCTCATCATCGGTACCTTTAACGGCAGTTATTGATGATACACCTATGCGGCTAGCTGTAAAACCAAAAGCACCAGCAACCACAGGTGGAAGTGGGAAGGCATTGAAGCTTGGTTCCAAAAATACTGATGACGACCAATTTCTAAAACAGCTAAGGAGAGAAGGTTGGTCAAATATAAAATTTCCCAGAAATATGATTAATACATTTTTGATGATTTTTTCAGCTGTACAAGATAGAAATTCAATTATGTCAGCATTAATCACGATAGCAAATATAAAAAGATGCTTGATGGTAACGAAGAATAGGTTTTTGATATCAGAAAAGCAGAATAATCTTTTCAATTAATCCATCTATGTCACATACTTTTCTTATCTCACAACTGAACTGACTACTCAATTTTGCTAGAAAATGAGTTAGAATATCAGGACATTTTTTTTATTTTGTCATAATTAGACAGCTCATTGCACTTCATCTCATGTATAAAATATTTTATTCGAGGGCAAGTAGTCGATACGCCTTTGCGTGCATCAGACATTGCTAATGCAGATGATCGAACTGCATCGGAAATCGGTTCTTCTACCATTTCACACGCTCCTGTTCATATTAAGATTGAAGAGAAATTATCTGCATCAGTATCGCGGGATGGTGGCCTTGAGAATGGAGAGGTATATCATGAATTCTTAAATTTAGAAATTTTTCAAAAGAAGCATTAAATTTTTTAAAAGATCGATGTCAGCGTATCATGAATCTCATTTTGTATGTCCGTTTTGCGATCGTAGTGCAAGATTTTATCGAATATTTGAATTTTTTCAATAGTTTTTTTCAATAGTCCACGACTGATCCGGGACAAGAGAGCCAAATTAAAATGTCACGCTAAATTAAAATCCTTGAAATCTGATAAACACATTCACTTGATCGCGCTATGTAACATATCAATAAAATCATTGTGCTCTACTTTTTATTAGTGTCATTCATGACAATTTTTTTTTCTGAAGGTACTGGGTAGTGCAGCACTTCTAATAAACGGCTCACAGTTTGCTACTGTCTGTGTTCAAATCAGTAACAATGACAAACATGGTGCGCAACTACAGGTAAATAATGAAAGATGAAATATTTGTGAAGTCGTATCCTTCAGTAATGGTGTGGCTGATCATCTATTTAGGTGCATCCAAATCTCGATAGAAAGGAATGGCTGCAAAAGTCATTGTTAAAATTGAAATCAGTGCAGAAGCCGTTTCCAGTAAACATGGATGTTGGTGTACTAAAGTGGCGACTACTTCTGAACAGCGAAGAAATGCTTCCTATCTCAAGTTTGTTTTAATCCTTGCCATTATGTCAAATATCCTTATTGTAGTTCTTTAACCCAAAAAATTTTTTAATTAATTTGCTTTTTGAAGACATTATCGACTACGTTCACTAAAAAATAAATAGTTTATTTCAGCACATTACATTATATTGCCCAACATCTAAAAACCTTTTTTGTATCCAAATTGTTTTTTTATATTCAACTTATTTATAGGGATAGAGGAGCCATCCCTATAAATCAGGAAGTTTTTTCAAAAAGAAATTTTGAATTTCAGTCAATTGTTGGCCAAGTGAAAATCCCGATGGTTGTGTAGTAAACATCGAATATACGCTTCAGGCTGAAAATATGACACTGAACAGCGTTGTTATCGTTATTCCTCTACCGTATGTGTTTCACAAAAGCTTTTTTTTTCTTGTTTTGTATTAAATTTATAACATAAATAGTGCGGTGTATCTGATTTGTGTTGGAGAGCTTTACAAACATTTTCCAGGCCCGCAGCTGTTCCGGTAATATCGGAATGTGAAGGTACATATGAGTATATAAAATCAAGATCGCAGCTAGTATGGAGTTTGCCTATTGTTGATGAGTCGAATAAGACCGGTTCTTTGGAATTTAGCACTCCTAATGGCCAAGCTAACCATTTCTTTCCAGTAACTGTCCGGTTCACTAGCAAGGATTTATTTTGTAATATAGCTGTGAGTTTGATTTCTTTTTTCGCTTTTTCCCTAAATATTAGCTTCGAAGTTGTATGGTATTTCTAGGATTTTTGCACTTGCTTTTTATTTGTAAAGAAAATTGAAAAAGTTTCAAGCACATAGCATTTCTGTGAATAGAAATAGGAACTTTTCAGTGTTTTGAGACGGCTGCAGTAATATATCAGAATTTGAATAACATTTGATATTTTGCGGTTTTATCAATGAGCGATTATTCCGACTTATTTTTTTTATAGGTAGAGTCAGTGCAAAAGATGGACATAGGCGAGACGATACAGTATTCAACGGAGAGCCATCTGATCACGGAGAAGTTCGAAATAGTATAAAGTTTTATTTTATTGAGAGTTTTTAAATTGCTCGTTTTGAAAAGAAAATTTCTCATATTTCGTTCAGATTAATGATTAATTTGTTTACTCGTGGTTAATGTGATTAAATCGCTATTTAAGAGGAACTTCAATATTTATTCAAGTTATCTAGAGTGAGCTTATTTTGTTGTCCTTCCCATTTGATGGCTCACTTGTCACTTCTACGCAGTACACTGTTACAACTGTGTGTCGAAATGTTATTATGTATTTATAAGAATAAAAGTAAATATTGGATCCGTTTTTCTTTTTGGCATTGTCTTTATCGATACACTATTAACCAGTTAATAGTGGTGTATTGTGCTAGCATTCTTTAATCGAACTTTTCCTTCCAGTAGTGCCAAAACTGTTAGGTTTGAATTTTTATGAGTAGAGTTGCCTCATGGTGGGCTTTTTTCTTGGAGTACTCCTGATATTTTTGTTCATAAGAAATTGCTTATTCCTAATAGGGTAGTTATTAGGATTATTATGTTCATATTGCTATCAAAACTGGAGGATATTTAAAATAGCTAGTGTCATGATGGCAGGAGTCCCTAAGTCGCTTCCTATTCGATGGTAGAGGTATCCAATAAAGAAATGCAGCGGCTGCCGAACATCATTTTATGATCGAGAATTTGTTTTTGTAGCAAGATTTTCGGTTGACGGAAAAAGCGTCGATGGCAGAAAATTGTATGGAAATAGGTTTGGTAACATATATTAATGGATCTCAGGTCTATTTATGGTTGATGGAGGCTCGTGAAGAGCAACTTTTCGTTGCAATGGTGAAGGAAGATGTGCTCAAGGTAACTGAATTATCATATGGGGATGTTAGTTGCAAGTTTATGTTGCAAACGTTAGTAGGAAAATAAAATTCATAATTTTCATAATGGATTTGGTTCAGGAACATATCTTGACTTTGATCATTTGAATCAAGTCTATGTCGAAATAAACACGAGATAAATACACAATAATTTTGAATCCAAAAATATAAAGTTCAGGTGATAAAATGGTACAGGTGGGCGACATTACTAAATCTAATGCAAATGTTGTTCTCACATTTTTTAATATTTGAACTGAACTTTGTTTGTAATTTAAGTTGGGAGTTTGGATACATCTTAGCAAAACAGATCTTGAAACATCTCAAATTGGCTGTGTTATGCTAGTAGCTACACCTCCGGTGAAGGCGTCGATCTGTAGTTATACCTCAGGCATTGAAAAGGTAACGCTGAATTGACTCCTTTTTCTCATTCTCTTAATCACTTTGCTTAACTCATTTTTATAAATGCCGTTTTAATTGTTGAGTAGAAATCAGGAACTGTTATTGAATAATATGTTATTGAAGGGCATTGTTACATCCGTTTGCAGGCAGTATTAGTAGAAACGAGAATCGTATTTTCACCGGTGGAATGGGCTAAGAAAAATGATTATGAGTGGTTTGCATACAGTTTTGAGTTTGGCCGTGTTGGTAATTTCGCTTTCAATAAACTCCTGAAATTAAATAGTTATCAAGTAAGGAGGGATGTTGTGTACAAAGCCGTCATGATCAGGTTATCTTAATGTTGTTTTTTTGCTTTTTCTCATTCATAAAATTGGTTATTCTATAGTACCTACGATAGTTAGTTTTAATTACTGGCAGTGTTCAGCACTTAAAATAATTTTACTGCCTATCCGCAGAGTTATAAAATTTTTCGCCTCCAGTCGAATGGAGTCGAATTCTGAACATTATTATTATTATTATTTATCTTTTTCATTATAGGAAGCTTAATAAGTAGTGTATGGATAAGCATACAACCGTACTTGTTTGTTGTATTATAAATTTCATCAATACCAAGATCAAATAAAAATTAGTTTTTTATGGCTGAGGCTTTTACTTGCTGATAAAAAGATTTTGTCACTCTTTTAGGATACCGTCGAGTGAACTAGGCCAATGTGTTATAGATACTTTTGGTTCATTATGGTCAATCTTACCCCAAGTTCTTGTATTATGTGATGATCAGAATGGTTTTGATAAAAGAGTATGATTTATGCTGCTATTCCTTATAAAATTCTCTTTCAAATTCTTGTAATATATCAAAAATGTTTTCACTTTTTCTATAAATGTCTCCAAATATTATAGAAATGGCTGATCTTAATCTATCTTTTGCAGCCATGGTCGTTATCATCTGGTTATCAGCCGCCGATCCGATCCGTATCCAGTAAAAATGTCAGTATGCCACCAATATATGCATTCAATTGTAAAAATTGGCGGATATTCATGCAGTTGATTAATATAATTTTGTTTTATTGATAGAACCAACCATTCATGCCTACTTTACAACTGTAAAACTGCTTCGAAACATTTCATCACTTTGTTTATACTATTTTTTGAGACACTAAAACAACGAAAAATTCAGTGATAAGCTGTGCACAATTTTTTCAATTTATGCACTACAAATTTCATATTACTACAGGCTTTTTTGTTTTGCGAGATCTCTGTTTATTTGTACAACAACAGATATGTAAATTGAAGAAGAATGATGAAAACTTGGGATTATAATGATCTTATACACAAGTGGCTTATTTTAGTTCGCTTGCTAAATAAATTTTTTTGTTTTAAGGTAGATGAATTGACTTCCTGGGACGTTTGGAACAATCCGTCAAATGAATTTGCTGAGGGAATTTTCGAATCATTGGTTTCTTCTAATGATTGTACGTCAGCGACAGTAGGTTAACATTTTTATATCTCATTTACGTTGGTAATTTATCAATGTAGTTCTTTGCATTAGTTGTTTGCATAGGTATGAAATCCTCCATTAGTTACAGAGTTTTCATGCAAACGATTTATCGAAATTCATAAATATTCCATTTAAAAGTGGATGATGTGAGAGATATGGATTGGAGTATTTTTGTCTGATTTGCTTAAAAATATATTTCTAGCAATATTGTTTTACATTGTAGACTCAAATTTGGGCCGAGATCATTACGAGGCTTGTTCACAGCAAGTGTATCTTGGCGTTGTCATTCTCAGAGAGCCGCAATATAGTATTATTTGGGGCAAAGTGCATGGCTTTGTTGCCGTATGTGCTACCGCAGATTTAGTGGTTCGTTGTTAAAGACTCGATGTTTAAGCGCTCCACTGATTTATGTTTATAACTGAGATGAGATGACTTAAAAGATTCTTTATGTACTTTTTTCTCTTGTTTTTGTTTGAACAATTCATAACTAAATAGGGTGACTTTCTGCCGCAACGGTGAATTAAAGAATGTAATAACGAATATGGCATAAAGAATTCTAAATGGAATTGAAACAACTAATGATTTTTATTTTGCGGATGATCGTGAATTAAGTTACATTTCAAAGTGCTCCAAAATGTTATTTTTAGCTGGAGCCATCAAATTGGGTTGAGTACGATTGTATCGAAACTGATACGGAACTAGGTGTATCGTATTTAGCGATATACTGTGTGCTAAGCAAACAGAAACCATTGGTGGTTGAGGCACGTGAAAAGTCTATTATTGTAAGTCGCTTCTTATTCATACTTCAAAACATTTTATTCATGGAATTTTTGCATACTTTCCGGGTTGCAACATTTTTCCAGAACAAATTTAGCTACAAAGATATTAAACATGAAATATGAAGAATCTCATCTATTTTAATCTTCGCTCTGATTAAGGAGCAATTTTTTGTTAAACTTTTAAATGCTGTAGCTTTCAGTGTCATACAGTAATACATGTTCCAAATGAAAGGAAAGCTCAAGCTGATGTAGGAGGAACATATTTTACTATGGTGTGTGACATTTTAGGAAACATATTGGTACCAGATATTCCAGTTGTCCATAGATGCATTAGGAAGAATAAATTAAAGGTTTGCTTTTATTTTTTCTTGTCTTGCAGAGCTATTGTTTACTAAGATCTCTAATTAAAAATGTCATGATTTGAGGAATCTTGTTCCACATTTTAAAACAATACGTTCTTTATTTTTGTCCATAGCAACGCTGCGATATTTAATGAAAATATTTTTAAAAATAGAGCAGTTTTTCCAAGTCTTTTACTAAGGCTTCCTTGTTATCTCTTTGAATTTATTTGTGCTATGAATACTATTATTTATGATATTGTTTTTTGAATGAAATTTATTTCCAGGCTAAAGTACTCGTAAAATATGATGTCAATGAAAAATGGCCATGCACATTGTTTGCTGTATACGAAAATGATATGCTGAAAATGATAGTAAGTGATTTGTGTGTTGTGTTAGATATATGGATTAAATTGCTCAGAATAATGACTTCATGGTTTTTTTACAGGACTGGAAGCAAGTAAGTACGGAGTGTAAAATCATTCCGGAAATGGACCGTTCTTTAGATCTGAAGGATATTCAGTGTGAAAGTGACAAGCCACAGTTTTTGGATGATGATGCGAATATACTAAGGATTTCAGCATTGCAGAAGAGTTTTGAGAAGGAAATGCATGATGAAAAAGTTTTCGTAGAAGTTCGTAGTTCTCCCTGTTTAGACACCAATCCTCTCCCAATCACTGCGGAAATTACTCATCAATGCAGTTCAGACAACAGTTCTGTTGCCAGTGCTAGAAACATCAAGAGAGTGACAGAGTGTGAAGAAAAGCCTGGCCCTTCAGGATTATCATATACGACAGCTTCTGCAGTGCAAAAGGTTTGAAATATTTTGATTTGAAAATTCGTAGCTTATTCCTCATGTATCTTCTTAGCACTTTTTTGAATTTATTTATAGAAACTCTGTTTTCAAATTCCTTTTTTTTAATCTTTCTATAGTTGTAATTGCTAGTAAGAGATAAATGATTATGATCATTTATCTTTTTGTTTTGGATAACTTATTTATTGGGTATCAGTTGGCATGAAGTGTGATTTTGTTAATGCAATGCAAAAAAGACGTGTTTCTAATGTAATAATTTTTTATTTTCCTATGGTTGTTCCATATTGTCACCGTTCTGGATGTGACGAAAATTTTGATTGGGTACAGCTGAAGAAGTACATTGTTGGTATGAAGATATTGGTGTGTTCTTGCTTCTTATTTTTTTAAATTAATTGGAAAAAAATTAAAAGTAAAGGCGTAACCAGCGTTGTAAATAATGCAGTGTGCGCAAATTAGTTTACTGGAAGGAAGTAGAAGGCAGACCAAACATGACATACGTTCGAATCTCGAAATATTGCACTGAAAAGCCAAGTGGTCTGTGTGAATGCGAAGTGATGCACACTATATCTAAAGCTTTTTGAGGAGTTCATCTAGTGCTTTCGTAATTCTTTATTTATCATTTTCAGACTTTACCAGTAACAATACTAGTCAAACTGACTTCCACGTATGGTATTTTATGGCATATTAATCGGAAACTGATTATTGTACCTGGAGAATATTTGGGGTATTTTATTTATTCGGTGTAGTTTTAAATAAAGATATAGCTTCTTTCAAACATTTTGTATAGAGGATTGAAACTGGTAATAAGCAGAATGTTGGGACATCCTGTTCATGCCTAATAACTTTGTATTTAAGTAATTCTGCAAAACGTTTAGCCATCCTATTCATGCCTAATAATTTTGTATTTAAGTAATTCTGCAAAACTGGGTACTTGGATGAAAGCGAAGGTATCGCCTCTGGATACAACGACAGTGGATTTGCCTTATCATTTCATTGTGATGCGTCCTTTAGAGGAGATTGAAAGTAAATTAATGACACAAAAAATAGGGGATGTTTTACAGGTATGAACAATTTATTGGCAACTGCTAAGGTTTTTACTTCTTTTCATCGAGATTTGATCAGTCTTTTTACCTAAGATTCCTTCATGATCTGGGTTGTTACATCTGAAGATCTATAAATTTGCTTTCTCAGAGAGCCTGTGGAGTGCCGAAAAATAATTTCTGAAACTGGCCGTAAGTTGTGTTGCTTGTCACAAAAAGTTATATAGTCATAATCATCCGTAGAAAAGTAATTTAAATTGCAGGTTAGGGTACATCTAGAACCAGGTGTAGAGAGTTATATTGATATGAATGGCAAATTATATTTGCAAAAAAACTCCGAACTTGGTCTGATATATATACCTTCTGAAAAGTCAGTTTGTACCTATATCGTTTTTACACTGTGTTCAAGTTTCATCTTTATATTCTGTCAATTTTTAGCAGTTTAATTTTGACTGCAAGGCATTGCATGATTTTGGTTGAACATTTGGTGTTTACACAATTTTTTGTTGTAGAATACCACAGAAATATCTCATGAAGAAATTTCGAGCATGGGTCACTTTCATAAGTTCAGAATTAAGCAGCGAGCCGATATGGATGGTTAATCATCGCCAAACACTAGTATGTGTTGTTCTCTGTTCTAGTTAGTTAAATAAAAAGCTTCCTTTTCAAAATTATAATCAAATAGTTTATAACTGATCACATCGAAAATATCGAAATAGGATGAGTTGTTTGTTTCCAGATTGACGAAGATGGAAATGAGTTACCAGATGAGTCTGATATATGATTGTTGGATTGACAAAAGTGATTAGTACTTATAACGACGGTGATGTTGGTATAGTCAATTCTCTTTGATTTTCATAATCTCAGAAACTTTCTTTTTGCGAATTGATTTTAACAATCAAACTATTCATCAACGAAATTGGCATACTAATTAGGGAATGATTTCTTAAATGCGGATGCCAAACAGGAAAAAGGTATACAGGTCTAAACTACGAGTTTAATATGGTTGGTTATAGCTCAGTGAAAGAAGTGTAAAATGCAGGCGATGGAAAATTTTATAACTTTTCACCTGTGCCTGAATTATAATTCATTTCAACTAATACTTTAGGATTTATTCTGTCCCATTCTTTCTTTTTGTCTCTTTTTTTGCAGTTTAGTCTTGTTTTGTAATCAGAACTACGTTATACGTAAATCTCAATGTTGATATTTTAATGATGTAGCTGCTTTTTTATTCTTGTGTTGTCTTGTCTCGTTGCTCATGTCAGAATTAAAATTGCATTTTCGATTCTTACTTGGCACTACTATCACTAGCAAGCTCTTTTGCCACGCAATGTCTGATTTGACTAATGCAGAATTAATCACAGTTTTACAATTTACTTCAAAAGATATTACTTATGCAATGATAGTCTTTGGTTCACTTCAAAATCTTTGCACGTAATTTATAAATTGAATTTTGTAAAATAAAATTTTCACTCCACACATTTTCCAGTTTGTGCTTTTATGCTTTTTGAGACAAAAATATGTCTTATGAAATGTTATCTGCTTCAGACGTTATGCACGAACTATGTAGATCTCTTGATTGGTAGGTAGAGCGACATGCTAGTAAGCTCTTTCACTTGCTTCATTCTTTACATTTTTTTGGTATTTATTGTGCTTTCAATTATTCATCCACAAAGGCCTTCCTGACATATATGCAGACTTATCATTTACCTATTATCCGGTGTACTGTTTTCGTTACAACTCTATCACTCACACATTCCAGAGTTTCACCTCCGATCATCGTTGTAATAGAAATAAAATCAGGATTGTATGATGACATCGTTATTGTTATTGACGAAATGTATGAATAGAAATAGTTGGTTCTGAAGTAATCAGATTAATTGATTAGATTAGCGGATCATATTATGTATGGGTCTGTGATGTGATAATGAAGTCTTTCTCAAAAAAAATTGAATGGATGGGTTGCTTATATGAAGGACCGGACCTTCTATAGTACTTACTGTAGGATTTATAAAGTGTAATCTTGAGAAATTATATGCAAAGTGCCGGAAACATGTAACATAACTGTATAAAATCCAAAATAAATTGAATAGCACCAGTCTTTTAATTACAAGAGGGCAGTGAATATATCTGATAAAGGCAGATTGGCATCATCGAAGTCAGGGAGACTATAATACTGACAAAGTTTTTACTGAGTGGGAGAGAAAACTTCCTTGCTACATTGCTAGCATAAATATGTAAAATTATTCTAATATTTGAATATATGAGAAATGGTTTGACCACGTTTGTATAATAAGTACAACATACAATTATGGATACAATTCCGGATTTTAACATTTTACATTTTGCTTTCAACATACAATTCCGGGTTTTAATGTTTAAGATATTTTAACATTTTGCTTTCTAAGAGAAAACTGCCTGTAGACAGGAAAACTCATTGAATAATTAATGGAATGATGCGATAAGACTGAGAAGACTTACACTTACCTCCTTTTTCTTTTCAGATTAATGGTGAAAAAAAAAGAGAATCATGGCGGAAACATCTAATAGATCAGACTGATAACTTCGACTAACTCCAAGAATATAGGTAAAGACTGGATAGAACAAGCAGAAGTGCGATAAATTTTATACCACTTTTAGAAATGACCACTGTTTCATTGATACGCTTTCGAAGGATTGCATTTTCATCAATAAGTGTATTGGAGCGTTTTAGTTCAGCTTGGAGCATCTTTTGTACCTAAATTAAAATTGTAATAATAATGATCAAATGACCAAAAAACTACTGTTGTAGAAAAATCCTTCGGTGACTTAGATTTTAGGATATTAGAGGATTGAAAGAATAGATTGCTTTGCTGTTATCTGGAATAAATAGAAAATACCTGTTCAACATAAGCTAATGCTTCATCCCATTGATGTAGCAGAAGTTCATTTTGCTCCATAAGTTTCACTTTGGATTTTCGTTCTTCTTCTAATTCTTCCAGTAATTGTACTTCTTGTGCTTCCGTTTTCAAATCATCACTCTCATTCACATTTACACATCGAACGGTATTTTCTGATGTTTCATCCAAAGAGTCCTATAACTTACCCATCAGTATTTGCCATAGCTCAAAAATATTTCTAGCCTTTAAATTTCTCATATAATTTGGAGTGCGGTAAAGTCAATTGATAAATTTTTATAGAGATGACATAGCTCAAGTCATTCAATTGTCTTAGGAATGATTGTCATAGTTTGCATTTAAACATGAAATTATACTGTAAAGGATAGTTCTTACCTGATCAGGTGAAAATCGCTCAAAATGTGATTGCTCAAGGCGTTCGATAATTTGACACCTATCAATAATAATAGCATCTTTGCCTCGGATCTGTTCTTCCAAATCAAATATTATTCGATCACGCTCTCTAATTCGTAATTTTAGCTGAGCTATTTCTAATCCAAGCTCTATTTCTTTCTCCTTTTTTCCCTTATCTGTAATATCATTTTAATCATTTATTAAAAAGTTTTTAATTTCATTCAAGTCTATATAAAATCTATTCTTTACGTTTATATCAAACAAAACTAATCATTCTATCTTATCCGAAAACGAATATAGACTGTCTCTAATTGAAATGTAATAGATATATTAAAGTAAACAAAAAATCTATAATTGCTGAAAATTCTATTTATGGTTTGTTTTTTTTAAGCCGATCGGATTCTTATGAATTTTTTTCAGTAAGAAAATATATCTTCTATTATTTTCTTCTTTTTTGTTTTCAATGAATAATGAAGTATTAGCGAAATGAAAACAAATAAATGATCGCAATGAACGCAACGAAAATGACCCTGAATGAAAGAGAAAGTGACCTGATTCAATGGATTTCTTTGATGTTGAAGGTGCCATATTGTAATACACTTCCAAATTACTTCTTCAATTTTCTGACAACAAATCTTCATTTATAATTTCATTTTCATCAATTATATATTCAATGGAAGAAATGACAGTTAATTGAGACGGTATCTTTTTGGAGCTTTAATTTATCCTAGTAAATCTTTTGTCTTTTTATGTGGAATATTATTATATTCGTTTTAGTGCTTGAAATGTTTCATTTGAAATTCAATCCATCTTTACTGTTTTCATCATGATTGCAAAACATGTGAGTTCAATGACAATCAAGAAGTTTGCATCAAATAATGAGTGAAATAAAAACTAAACTTCAGGTAATTACTTAATTGTTGAGGAATTTGACCGATCGCTGTTAATTACTACCGAGATATGCTGTTATATCTTAGAAGAAAGAAAAATAACTGGAGAGAAGATTCTACACCTAACTGTAACATTTACACATGTAGATAATTGACTAGATAAATTAATTAATTTGCATGTTCTTCGTTTTGCTGTATCATTCGTTTTTTTTTTTTTGATTTTAAATATTAATATTCTTTGGAAGAGAATAAATAAGGAAATTGAAAATATTTCAATTAGAGGATATTTGCCACTGATCAGGTAGATCTGACATATGATATGCTTGCATGATCGATGTGTCATCAAGTGTGTTAGTGATTTATAAGATACATATAAAGTTGAAAGTACTATTAGAAAATTAGAAAAATAATGTAATAGAAAAAAGGAGACGGAGAAATGTTTTGCCGTGTGATGCTGCTTGACTTCACCGTACGCAATGAAATGCAATCCGGATGAGAGCGGCTGTTCCGATATGTTGTAATACCGCCTCGTCTAATTTAACATCCTTATTTTTGCTATTATATAAAAACAACTGAATAAGCAGAAGTGTGTTGTATGTTGGAGTGAAAATTGTAAAAAATGGTGAATGTAAATTCAATCTCTCCACTATTCCTTTTATCTTCATAGCCTGTTATCTTCTTTCATATACTTCATGAATCATTACATTATACAATATTAGGCAGTTATTGGATCATTATCAGTTATCAGTTCCCCTTTTGCTACTTTATCATTGATTTGGAATCTTTTTTTATCTAAATATTATTTCTTTAATTTCAACCAAATAAACAGCAAATAATTAATTTGTATTAAAAAGTATATTTATGAAAGAATGTATCCCAATAATATAAAGCAGCAAATTGCAATAGACTAAAAAATTGCCCCAAACCTAGGATATTATTTTGGCCAGAAATATTTGTAAATCTTGATTGAAACTAAAACTGAGATTATACTTAACTAACCTAACAAATATACAACAGTATTACATCGAATTATCTATCCGTTATTGATATCATTTATCTTCAAGCTATTGAAATTGATATCATTTATCTTCAAACTAAAATCCTTAGCTAAGGCATATTTAGTTAAATGTTTCACAGTTAGTATTCATATAATTGTTTAGTTGAAACTTCCTTTATAAGTATA